AGGGGAGCCAGAAAAACCCCCAATATATAAGCCTTTTCAACATGCCTTTTCCCCCCCCGTTTTCTAGACTCCAATTTCCAGATTTCCCCCCCCCCCCCACTTCTGGGACGCAACTTCTGAATAATACACACTAGAAAAACACAGAAGAAAAGCACGCCCCAACTTTAAACAATCCCCGAGGAGGGGAAGCATGTGTAACATTCTAAAGAAAGCAGACCATTCCGTCTCTGGAAAAATCTAGACTCTCTAGATTAGATTTCCCCATCTGGAATCATCTTTTTCCTGCCTTGATTTCCTTCCTGTTCCTGAGCCAGTGGATTTCAACTCAACACACCCACCTTGAAAGTTTGTGCCCAATAAAACTCCTCAGTCTTTCACTCAGTGAACTTTTAAAAGAAGACTCCTTACAACTTTGGATGCAATTGGAAATATATAGGTTGCAAGTTTCCTGCTGGTTTCTAGACCCAAACCTGACTCAAATCCATGCAAAACAGAAGACTCAAAAAAGTGAGCCAGTTTAGCTGGAGACTAGGCACAACCGGTATCTCCATGAACCGGGGTATTCCATGCTGTGGCAATATATTACAAATCCTTATTTATTTCAAATAAAAGTAACAAATTCAAGGACAGTGCTTAAGAACAGAGTTTAACAACTTAAGACGTTTTATACGGCAAAAGCTCTTACGTATTGCAGCCTTCATTAAGAGAGATTTGGGGGCTACATCCCATGAATATTCTACTGTACATTGGCTCTGGCCACTGAGTGAGTATAGAAGGAATTAATAAAATCTAAACATCATGGATAAGGAAGTTTCAGAAGCCAATTTCCCACCCCAAGTGTGCACCAGAGTTTATGCCAACCCTAAAAAAAAAAAAAAATCACAGATAAAAAGAGAGCACATAAGAGGAAGTGTCTGGATGTCTGATTTTCTAAAAATGCTAATTTTGACTGACGGAGGATGGAGGCAGAGAACAAGACTCGTGTCTTTCTGCAGTATGTGTATTAAGGCCAGAGGCTGAGGTTGCAAAAATGGCCTTAGAGGGAAGCTGCAGGACTTCCACCCTGCTGTGCAGAGACAGGCACTCGGGATCCTGGGTAGATCGCATCGTCCCCTAATCTTTCCACGGTCGTTCGATAAAACACATACCTCGCGGCCATCCTGTCCTACATTGGTCTGTCCTCTCACCACAGTCCGAACGTTGTCATCCAGTCGTCTACGAGGAAAAAAGGCAGGAGAGGCTGGTTAAACTCTCAGCCACGGTGGTCAGGGCCTGGGAACTCCCTAGAGGAGTTCTGGTTACTGGCTGGTTACTGCCAGGTGGAGGATACAGCTGCTAAAGGGTCATTCACACTGAAATGGCTTATGCCCTGTGCCCATCCCTGGGGCTCGGGGGGGAGGGAACTAAATAAATAAAACTCAGAAACACATGTTCCCAAGGTGTATTACCAGGATGCACTTGCCTTATTTTTAGCTTGATCTTATTCACCACATCGTCGATATTTGCCAAAGACTGGAAGACAAAAACGGGGAGACAATTCCTTATTTGCAAATTCCATGCGTAAAACGGATTACAAATGAATGTAGGCATCTACGTTAAGCAGAAATGATTTGCCTGCTTCATACAGATCTATCCCATTGACGATTTACATTCTTTCAAAAAATAAAAAAGAGGCCAATTTATTTATTTGAGCTGTCCTTGTTCTTAATCCATTACCATGCAAACCCCATTTGAGTGCCAATTTTTAGAAAACAAGTAAAGGTATACAAAATGAAACAAGCACACAGTCCAGAGCAGGGGACCATGGATGGCAACCTCCACGGGTACATCTTGCATCATCTTTCACCACTGACAAGGCTGGCTGGGGCAGGTGGGATCTGGAGTCCAGGAGGTCCCATGTTCCCCAACTTTGCTGCAAGATTTTGCCTGTGTTGTTTCATTTCCTCTGTAAACTCCCCAGGAACACAACGTCAAGCATAGAACGACAATATATAGACAACAAAAGTTCTACAATTCTAAAATGATGATGATTAAACAAACAAACAAAAAATGCAGGAGGCCTTCCTCTTGCTCCATCTCAACTATAATCCCAGGACTTCCATCAAAAAAAAAAATTAATATTTCCCACCAGAAATCTCAAAAACATTTGTTAATTAGAGATTGTTTCATTTGCCAGAATAGAACAGGAATTGTGACCTCCAGAGGACAAACAGGGCAAAGCAAAAAATCAGGAATAAAAAAATGTACAGTACTGGCAAAAAAAAGAAGGAACGCTGAGTGATGTGCAGTTCTTGGTCTAACAAGTTTGGGGTGTTCTGATCCACATCTACAAAAGCTGCAGGGGATTCTGCAGCTATACATTGCTTTGAACAAAGAATCTGGCCCACCATCTAGCCGGACATTCTGGAATTGTCCATCTTTCTTCTCCACCGCCTGTAGCCTGTATAAAGCAGCAAGCCTGCCTGTCTTGGGAAACGAAAACATTGATTCTCAGAGGACTGGGTGTGTTTTATGGACAGACACAAATCCCGGGGATTGTGCCTTGACTCAGTTTACAGTAGGACCCCCTGTATCTATGGAGAATCAGCTCCAAGCCCCTCTGCTAATTCTCTGCAAAATACTGTACTGATTCTATCCAACACTATTTTAAATAGGGAGCTCTACGCAAAACATGGTCTCTGTCTCCCTCTAGTGGCCAGTTCTAGTCAGGACATTGTGGAAATATATGATCCAGCAAAGGCTATACAGTACATAACATGGTCTCTTAACTTCATCTTTAGAAATATATATTTCTAGGATTTCTCTTTCAATATTTTCAAAACGTGGACAAGTGAACCAGTGGTTACCAATCACGCAAATAAGGGGGTCCTACTGTACTTCCTTTCCTTCAAGAAGTGAGCAAATGAACATTATTCTCTCTCTTATTAGTTACATTTCTATCCGGCCCAGAATCTAGGAATGAAAAGTCCTTTCCTGTTAGAAAGGGAGGAGAAAGTTTTCAGGCCTCCGGCACCGTCTTCCTTTCTTTTGTTGGGCCTGGAGACCCCGAGAAAGAAACGCAGGGTACAAACAACGCGATGGCGTTAAACTCCATCCCATCACGACGCGGCAGGCAAAAAAGGACTCACCTGCTCGGTGGGGAAAAGGGTGTTGATGTATTCCACGGCGTTGAAGTCCGCTCGGTCCAGGGGGTCCTGGCTCGGAAATACCTAGAGGTTGAGGTGGGTGGGAATTTAGAAAGCCCCCCAGGGCGGAATTGTGCAACAGCCGTTGTGTTCAACGCCAGGGTGGCTCTGCGGCAGAATAAACCCGACAGGAGGTCCCGGGGGGGCGTTTCCGGGGGGGGAGCGATCCTCCCACCGACGGTTTCTCTCTGTCAGGATCCTGGAGAGGCAGCGGCTGTCACCCATGGGTCCTCTGGTGGGCACCCCACAGGGCCTTCTGTCAGCCCTCCCGTTAGCAACTCACACCCTGCCCTACGAGTCTCTCCCAAACGTAAACCCCAATGAGACCCCCCCAAAAAACCAAAGGCACCCCATTCGCATTACCCCACCCTGCTGCTCCAAGGACCCCGGCCGCTGCCACCCAAAACCCATCCCCCTCCAGTCCCTCGCCCCACAGAACTGCCCCCCCATCGCCTCTTTCTGGCCTTTCCACTGCCCCACAACCCTCCCAACTGGAACCCTGCTGGGCCCCTCCCTGCTGGAAAAGGGGCTGGAGGGGGGGTAACCCCTGGGAGAGGGGCTGGAGGACGTGGGACTACCACTCCCATCAGCCCCAACGAGTCCAGCCAAGGGTCTGGGAGATGAATTATGGGGGAAAGGGGTCTCTCTCCAGGGACTGCTTTCTTCCTCCCTTCACCCCCTCCTTTGGACTACACCTCCCATCATCCTTCGCCAACAGCCACGACGGCTCAAGCTGATAGGAAGTGTAGGCCAAACGGGCCAGGGGG